ACACACACACACACACACAAAACAAACAAACAAACAAACCAACAAACAAGCAAAAAACTACAAGGCAAATCCGCCATCTTTTTTTACATTCTCGCATAGCTGAAATCCTGTAAAATGCCAACCACAATGGCGGATTTGATCACGTGACCTCTTAGTGCAAGTCGTCTATTCCTTCTCTTAGTTCATTTTCTTTTGCCCCTTACCTTGTGCCTCTGCTCATGCCCAAATCCTTGAACAGTGCAGAATATCAAATTCTGACTACTCGCTCCTCTGTCGCTGAATCGTCAGAAATTACATTAGTACGCAAAGGGATCGACAATTAGATAATTGAGGGATGAATTATATTGATGTTGCACGATATTGTTTTTGTTACAACCCCTGCAAGCATTTTTTTGTGTTTGCTCGATATTTATTTTCTGAAAGGAGAGGTTGCACGATATATTCTTTTCGTAGGTGAAGTTCTTGTTCGATATTTTGGGGGGATTTACGCAATCCTCCCTCTCAATAATCTAATGGTCCGCGTTTAATTTCACTTTTTGATTTACTTAAAACAGGACCATACTTCCAGACATCGAGTGCTGAACCGTCGTATGGTAGCGCGAAGCATTTACTGCTACGCCTGAGATTTCGTCCCCGACACCGCTATCCGAAGATTTACAGACTGATCAGGAAGCTCGGCCAAAGGAAAGTTAACCGGCATTTATTGTATAATTTAAGAGTCCGTAYAAAGAGCTATTATCTTGTGAATTATTTTATATGAAAACTAAAAAATAACTGAATTTGGTAATGAATTTCATTTGGGGTAAGGTTTGGAGTCAGGTATGTAATGAGGTACGGACGTACGCTGGTTCTCTCTGTCCTTTTGCTCTCTTTATTCATTCCGAGGGCTTCTTTTTATGATTATAAGTATGGTTGCCTACTGCTAACATATCCAAGTATACACAAGGCCAAATATGATGCTGAAGAATTTCTAAAGACAAGGGAAAAGCTCTATTTCGTGAATTCGACTTCGCTGCTTCTTGAAAATTCTACTGACGCTGTTTGCTTATCCAACAATGGGTGTAATTCTATATTGTCATTCGGGACGTGGAATGATGCTAATATTACGGCCGACCGCCCTATTGTTTGTCTTCAATGCGTGCAACGGAATGCAACAAATTATAAGCGTCGATTGTTGGCCAGAAGGCATAGATGCCCATGCTGTTATTATTCGAACTCATGCGCGACATTCCATCTTGTGTTAATTGGTGACTTGGTATTTAAGTTAAATCCTGGTCCTGATTTGGCGGAGCGAAGAATACAAACCATTGTTTCTCTCGAAACGCAATCTGCAGAATCTCATCTACGTACGTACAGCCAACTCTTTGTTCTAGTCATCAACACTTGCTGAAATTTTGTTTATTTGATAGCCGTTCTGTCAGAAATAAGACTGCTGACATTGTGGATTACATCTCCCATGACTGTAAAGCAGACCTGGTTGCAATCACGGAATCGTGGTTGGACCAGCATGATGCAGCTGTTCGCTTAGAGTTATGCCCTGATGGTTACAAACTATTGGATCATGTACGCAATGCTCGATGTGGTGGTGGAACTGCGTTATTATACCGCGACTCGCTATGCGTGAATGGAGTTGATTCTGGAAATAAAACTTCGTTTGAATTTTCTGAGTGGCTAGTGAACCTGTCATCTGCTCATAAACTCCGTGTAGTTATTATTTATCGCCCTCCATACTCCAGCGAACAAAGGGTGCCCAAAAGTGTGTTTTTCGCAGAGTTTTCTAATTACCTGGAATCTCTGTTATTGTGCAAAGAGCCGCTATTGATTTGTGGTGATTTTAATTTACATGTTGATTCTTATGTTGATGCGGATTCAGTAAAATTTCGTGATCTGCTTGAATCGGTTGGGTTACGGCAACATGTCAACCACGCGACACACGTCGATGGCCATACTCTGGATCTTTTGATTACACGCCTCTCCGACTATATCATTCATAGACCACCTTATATAGACCGCTTCATATCGGATCATGTGTCGGTTATCTGTAGTCTCGCATTTTCTAGGCCAGTGGCGTCATGTCGCAATATATCTTATAGGAAACTGAAGTCTGTGGACTCTAATGCTCTACGACAGGAATCAGCTGCTACTACATTATGTAATATTCATCGTGTTGACCCGGATAATCAACTGGCTGATGACATTGATGCACTTGTGCGGGAAAACAACTCGACTTTGAAACATCTAACAAACCGTCATGCTCCCCTGAAGACCAAGACACTCAGAGCTAGGCATTCTGTCCCTTGGTACAATGCTGAAATTGATGCTGCTAAAAGACGTCGTAGGAAAGCTGAGAGGGTGGGGCGAAAAAGTAAATCGTTGGTTGACTTCAGACTGTTTAAGGCACTTAGAAATCACGTGACTTATTTAATGAATGAAGCAAGGAAGACCTATTATACTGACTTTATCTCCGATAATAGTGACAATCAAGGCAAACTCTTTACCGCTGTTAAAAAGTTGCTCAGTCCCTGGAATCAGCTATCTTTTCCGAACTGTCCCAATAACACTGTGCTTTCCAATGATATGGGTGAATTTTTTATACGGAAGATTTTGAAAATTCGAGATGAAGTCGATGCTGTTGTCCTTGACTCTTCGTCACGTGATTTGGTACCTGATGATCGATGTCTACTGGCAGATGAAAGTGTAAGCTTAGGAAGCTTTGAGAAGCTTAGCATTGACAAAGTCCGGTCACTTGTAATGGCTTCAGCAAAAAAGTATTGTGCCCTGGATCCAATGCCAATGCCGATGGTTCTGGATTGTTTGGACATTCTACTTCCGGTAATTACCCACGTCATCAATTCCTCTTTAGCTACCGAATATTTTCCTAAAGACTGGAAGGAGGCGCTGGTGAAACCTCTTTTAAAGAAAGGGGGACTTGATGTTGTGTTTAGTAACTTACGTCCGATCAGCAATCTTCAGTTTGTCTCAAAGTTGACTGAAAGGGCTGTCTATGAACAAACTTATAACTATCTTGTAGAGCACGATTTACTTCCCGAGCTCCAATCTGCGTATAGAAAGCGCTATAGTACGGAGACAGCACTTCTTAAAGTACAGAATGACATTCTTCTGAGTATGGATCGCCAACATGTAACGCTACTTGTACTTCTTGACCTTAGTGCGGCATTCGACACTGTCGATCATAGTATTCTTCTTTGTCGCCTGGAGTCATCGTTTGGTATAACAGGGAAGGCGCTGGAGTGGTTCAAGTCCTACTTGTCAAACCGGTCTCAACGTGTGGCATTTGATGATGGGATCTCTGACAGTTATCAGTTATCACTTGCGGGTTACCACGGGGCTCATGTCTGGGGCCACTTTTATTCACATTGTATGTAAGTAAATTGTTTGATGTGATCAAGGGATATCTGCCGACCGCGCACGCGTATGCTGATGACACACAGCTGTATTTGTCTTTCAAAGCAAATGACTGAAGTGAGCGAAGTGGAGAGTATTGCCGCCATGGAGATGTGTATAACGGCTGTGCGGGCTTGGATGATTACCGACAAGATGAAACTGAATGATAGCAAAACAGAGTTCCTGATTATCGGAACCAGGCAACAGCTGAAAAAAGTTTGTATCGACAAGTTAACAGTTGGAGACGTTAGAGTAACGCCAGTTTCAGCAGCCAGGAATCTAGGAACGTTGTTTGACCGTAATATGAGTCCTGTCCCTCACATCAATAATATATGTAAAGCTGCATTTTTCCATCTCTATAATATTAGGAGGATAAGAAAATATCTTTCTTATGATACAACAAGAATGTTAATTCATGCTTTTATTATGGGCAGAATAGACTATTGTAACAGCCTGATTTACGGTCTCCCTGCAAAGTCTATTAGTAAATTACGTGTTCAAAATGCAGCGGCTAGGCTCGTAACAGGAACGCCTAGGTACAATCATATCACTCCAGTACTATATTCACTCCATTGGTTACCAGTTAGGGAAAGAATACATTATAAGATATTAATACTTACTTTTAAGGCTATATATGGCCTTGCACCAAGTTACATCAGCAGCCTAGTTGAAGTTAAGCGTTCTAGTGCATACTCTCTTCGGAGGAACAATGATTTATATCTCCAACCGTTTTTAAATGTTAGAACAAAGAAAACTCTAGGTGATAGGGCTTTTGCTGTGGCTGCTCCGTCTTTGTTCAATGCCCTCCCTCGTTATATCAGGAATGAGAGTAATTTTAACAGTTTTAAGTCATTACTTAAGACATCCTTGTTTCAGACTGCATATGGATCTTAAATTATATTATTTAGATTAGAGTAGATTGTTTTTATTTATATATATATTTTTAATTAGTACATACCACATACACTACACATACACGCACACGCACCCATACGCACATACACCACCTGAAATATATATTAGGGAAAAGCCATTAGTTATTATCGATAGAGTTTTAACCACTGCATAACAATCTGTTACTTCACCTTAGGAAATTATATTTATTTAGATATATTCTTCTTTCATAATTCATACGTTATAGTTAGTTGTTTTTAGTGATGCTTTATATTTAATCTTTTATATTTAGTAATATTCTTATTTTATTGTTGCGCGCATTTGATCATATACACATGCTAATTTGGGCGTTATAAGCAATAAATTATTATTATTATTATAAGAATACTAAAAGTTGAGGGAAAAAACTGGGCCGAGTTGACATTGCAGTGCATTGTTAAAAAAATAAAAAATAAAAAAAATAGACGCCATCTTCGAAATCTGTCCCCTTAAAAGTCCCACAATGCACTGCAATGCTAGCTTGCCTCTGCTCGGCTAATATTTCATGCGCTCCGTATGAGGGCTGTCCACAAGTTACTCCAAAAAGTCCAAAAAGTTGCCCCAAAAAGTCCAAAAAGTTGCTCAAAAGTTGCTAAAAAAATCCAAAAGTTGCTCAAAAGTTGCTCAAAAATCTCAAAGTTGCTTAAAAGTTGCTCAACAAAAAGTTCACATATTTGCAATCAATTTGATGATTTAATATCATAGAATTCAGTGAATAAGTAAGTAATGTCTATATTTACTGAGGGTAATACTAAATATACTATATAATATTTTATACAAATTTATAAATAATGTTATGAATACTGTACTATAATAAATTTGTAGTCAATCATGTAATAGAAAAGCAATATATAAGCAAATTTATAGTCAATCATGTTATAGTCAGCTTTAAGAGAAGTATAAAGGCTTTGTCTTTTGTTCCTCGTTGTCAATCTAAGCATAACAGAGGCTTAAACTGTACTTCACTGTACCGCGGACATTTCTCTTCTTTTCTGCAGGATTGCTCTGCACTTTCCTTTCTCGGGCAATACTAGCTTTCGTTGGCTAACTCAAATTAGCTCCAGCATTGGCTGCTATTGTTAATGGGCTTTGTTGTGTGTCAGAATTACTGAAGCATGTGTCTTCTTCCGCCGCTTGTTTACATTTTAGATTTTACAACCGCTGTCCACATGCATAGCAGTTTACCACAAGAAGACCAGAACGTCACAAAGTGTATACAAATTGCAAAGACAAGTATTGAAACCATTAGAGCACATATCAAACTTTCCACATAGAAAAGTTGTCGTTCCGCTCGAGCTGTTTCTTTTACCATATATGGAATGTACTTACCATATTAGGAAATTGGAATATAATTTTCTTCACTAAATAGGCGAATTTCTTGCTCAAAACTGCTCAAAACTGCTCAAATTTACAGTAAATCGAGTGAAAACATCACTAACTAGTCAGCCATCTTGGTTTTGGCCGAAAAAAGACTGGAAATTGTGTAGGGGAGGGGAGCGTGGTTTGTCACCACAGGAAGCCCGCGAATGACAACAATTGTTTGATATGAAAAAAAAAAACAAAAAAACAAAAAAACAAAAAAACAACAACAACAACTCACTTTTTGTCCTTATTTGGTGTGATAATTTGTTTAAATTCATGTAAAAGTTTAAAAAAAAAAGAACGAAAGTTGCTAGAAAATGAAAAGTTGCTCAAAGCGCTCGAAAGTGAAAAAGTTGCTCGAAATCGGAAAAGTTGCCCAAAAGTTGCCGAGCAACTTGTGGACAGTCCTACGCCGTATCGTCCAAGTAGTCGTCCATTGCTTATGAAACATTTATAAGTAAACTTAATTGGACCAAACCACGCGATCTGAACGTTAATTTTCTGAACTGGAGCATTTTCATCACGAGACACTTGAAAACGTTTATGGAGGATTTTTAAAATCACAAACTAAGAGAAGTTACAAGGACTTAAGAGCACTTTTGGAACAAAGATCCCACCCCCCCCCATTCCGCTACACTTTTCGGTCATATCGCTCTTCCGCAAACGAACATGCTATTTATCTAGCTAAAAGGTCGACTTAAAAAAAGATTAGTTTGCTTGATAACCGAAGTTTTACGTTTTACGTTACGTATTCTTTCAAGACGAAAAAAAGCGACTCGACTTAGTTTGGATAGTGAAAAATAATAATTGCACATGATCATCATTACCACTACCAGACTCCCTTGCACACTCTCTATTGTTCAGGTAATTAGCATCAATTGTCTTACTATTCTCATGAAGAAATAAAAATTTGAATAAAAAAGAAAATTCGATTTTTGTAGTAGTAGTAAAATGACGCCATCGACCATGCAAAATCACCCTTCATAAAACTTACTCTTGTGGGCTTCCTGTGGAAAAAAGATCTGATAAAAAGCACGCTAGGATCACATGACTGCTGTATAAGATGGCTTCCGACTTGTTGTGGTTACTTTCCTCTGCTGTCGTATTCCTGTCTTTTCCTTCTCAGGTATGGATCTTTTCAACTATACAACTTATAATATATTTTAAGAATTGACCATTCGTGTATTAAAAGTTTTAGAAGTATTGTGTAAAATACGGGTAAAGAAAAAAATATGCTGACGTGCATATTAACTATTGTCGGAAAAAATACAAATGTCTAAAGATTATTTATTGTGTAAACTTTAAAAAATAGTCCCAAATACATTTGTGATAGGTTTATTGAAGCTTATAGTATTGGTGAACATATATATTTAATTTATGCTTTAAACTATCTTCGTAAGTCAAATTTAAGTAAAACACGGGAATCCCAAAACTGATTCACAATACAAGGGGTTGAAATATTTAGAAAGAAATAAAATGAACTCGATGACTGTTTACTCTATCACATTATAAGGTACAACAATGGAATACCCCACACTTCAAGCCATTCCTTTAAATGTTTGGATACGCGGATACGCAGTGAAGAGGACCACCCCTCCACCTGTAGATATGAAGGCATATGTTGGAGTGGATATGCGGATAATTCATATCTATAGGGGAGGGGGGGTCTCAGTCTTCACTGTGTATCCGCGTATCTGCGTATCCACTTCAACATATACCTTCATATCTATAGGTGAAGGGGTGGTCTTCTTCAATGCGTATCCGTGTATCCACTTCAACACATACCTTCATATTTATAGAAGGAGGGGTGGTCGTCTTCACTGTGTATCTGCGTATCTGCGTATCCACTTCAACATAAACCTTCATATCTATAGGGGGAGGGGTGGTCTTCTTCACTGCATATCCGTGTATCCACTTCAATATATACCTCGTTCTTTAAAAGTTAACATTCCGCATATGCTTTCATATCTACAGGGGGAGGGGTGGTCTTCTTCACTGCGTATCCGCATATTCAAACATTTAATGGAATGGTATGAAGTGCAGGGTATTCGATAGTTACTCCCATTATAAATGATTGATAAGCATTCAATGTTACCTTTAGATTAAAACTTAAGTATTTTGTTCTAGGAAACAATATGAGGTTTACATAATTTGTCTGTATCCTATATGTGAACCTCTGTGAAGCTCCCATATCTCAGCAATACTCTAGTTTTGAATTCTCTGTCATACAGGGTTAGCCTTTGTATGGAACTACTTTGAATATTCATGCATTCTAATAAAGGGCCGTGGAATTTCAAAGTGTTTGTATTGTTGAAGTTGTGCATTCTTTACTTTGCCGTATAAACGAGTCTGTGATCAATGATTACAGTCGTATTTTACCAATAGGAAAATGGTCTTAATTCAGTCTCCAATTGGTTTGGTGGAAACTGGACCAACTATGTAAAAATTTGATATCCCATAATGTTTTGATAGACCCTTTTCGAGTTCCAAATTACCGCTGTGTTCCTTGATTACAGACTCATTTACTCAGGCTTAGCCTCGCATCAGTGTTTAAATATTCACAAATACCAACGGTAAAGTAAAGAATGCACAACTCCAACAATACAAACACTTTGAAATTAGATGGACCTTGACTGAGACACGTGAATATTCTACACAAAATCAAGGCTAAGCCTGAGTAAATGAGTCTGTAATTTGAAGGAACACAGCAGTAATTTGGAACTAGAAAAGGGTCTATTGTTAAATTTGTAGACATTGTCAAACCCATTGGTGGAGCGATAAATTAAGGTGATTGGTTGTCTTCGGAGCAGGATCGTCAATTTAAAATAATATAGATTATATTTCTATGTTTAGAATTTCACATGAGAGCTAATAGAGCTAGTGACATTCTGTGTCATAGCTAGGGCATAATGCCATAGGCCAGCTCCTATGGGTTGCGACACCAGATTAATTCAGGCCCTTAGGCTGGGGGTTGTGGACGCACTTCCTAAACTGAGAGTTTTTGCGGTTTTTTAAGACTGATGTGATAGAGAAATGATGTTTTGCCTATAACTGCAGTAGTCCATTACTGCTTTGTTTTTCTGAAATGCACCCCCTTCTCTGAAACCACACTACAGGCCTGTATTTAATGTATTGATTTTTTTCAGGTGGTCTCTATGACAACCCATGGACGATATGCACTGAAACCTAACCATACAGTAAGTTATTATAATAATGCTAGTTGCATATTAATTGCCCCCATTCAACTCCAAAAAGTCCTGTGATTGATAACAAGCAATATTAGCTTTTTTCTTTGCAGATCACTTAGCTGTAATTGAGATAATTTTTTTTTTAGGTTGGACTAACTTGTGCTGATTCTTACTGCAGTACTAACTGTTGTATAGACTCCTCTACAGACGAACTAATTTGCTGTGATGAAGAGAGTGAAGACTATCTTTGGTGTGAGTATAATTCAATACATACTGTAAATATCAATAAAAGTATCTGTTACCACAGTTACAAATATTATCACTTTCTGATTGGTCTAGAGCTGGGTAAATAGGATGATATACCAATAAATTACATCAAGAAATCATGAAGGGCTTGTGCACGAAGCCAGCTCGCACTTGAAACCTTTTTTTTGAAATTATCCCCTTGTTTTTGTAGTAAAATTTTTTTTGTGGTAAAAAAATGGATATGCCTCTGGAGTCCACAACATTTTGATGGCTAGATGAGGAAAATTGTGGTAAATGATTAATGATGGTAATAGGACATTTGCACGATGGCGTCATTGACCTCTACTACCAGACTCCMTTGCACGCTTTCTTTTGTTCAGTTAATTAGCACCAATTGTCTTACTATTCTCATGAGGGAATACAAATTTAAATAAGAAAGAAAATTCGCAAAGCATCTTGGTAGTGGGAGTCAAATGACGCCATCATGCAAACGTCCTATTGAACTGAGTGAAGTGCAATTTGGACCAAAATCATACAAGTGATTACAAAATTGCATGACAGCGTAGTGGGAGTGCAATTTGTTAATCACAAGTATGATTTTGATCCAAAATTGCAGGACACAAAGTTCAATTACCACTTAATCATATCCTTTTTGTAATCATACACAAGAAAAAGACACACTAAAGAGTGCAGAATAATCAATATAATGTGGAAGAAGAAGTAAATCAATCAGGTTTTTCCTGGTATAGAATAAGTGATTTATCAGAAAATCATTGATATTCATAAATAATGCTAATCATTCTCTTCTCTGATTGGCTGAATATAAGAATTCTGTTCTGTGATTGGTTCTTTCAAAAAGATGCAATTAAGAGCTCAAAAGGATGCGATTAAAAGTTCCTAAAGATTTGATTTGGGAGTTAATCGCACTCCTTTGAACCAATCAGATTGCAGGATTTGGTAATGATTACAAAAAGGATATGATTAAGAGGACAATACCACGGGCTAAGCTGGGCAGGGCCACAAATGTTTCATGTTTTATCATTGCGATCATCTTATTTTTTTGTATATTTTTCATTCATAACTCCCTACACTCACTTATGACATAATGTTTCAATTTCAATATATTTACACTGTTTTTTTTTTAAATTTCACATAATAGAATACGCCTGAAGTGAGATGACGTTTACCCCCGTCTCTAGACCATAATCCTTTTCACACTGCTTTTGTTCTTTAATTATGACTATTGTTCCTGTATTCTCTAAGGAATCAAAAAATTTAAAATGAAAGAATTTTAAAAACTATTATGGTTTAGAGTTGGGCGTAAATCGTCATCTTGCTTTAGGCTTATTACAAAAATATATGTAGCTCGAATAATATTTAGAATTTTTACTATAATTAACATATAATAGGTGTAAGTGTACGACAGCCAAAAGAGCTAAAGCTTCCTAGTTGGCTGTTGTAATTTTCATTTTGGGTCAAAAAAGAAAAAAGGAGGAAAAAAAACTACAATGATGATGATGATGATGATGATGATGATGAACGACGAAGAAGTAATTATTAACACACCTGGGGATGATGATGATGTTGATGATGATGATGATGATGATGATGATCATGATCATGACAATGATGATTATACTTGTAATAATATAGTTACAATAATGTTGTTTTGTTGATTCATTTTTTTAATTATTGTTTTCAGGGTTTTGGGTAGCTGTTATTGTCTTTGTTCTTGTGCTCTCAATGTGTTTTGGAGCATGTTGTTGTAAAATTCACCGTAGACGAGTCCGCAGACATTTCCTAGTGGTGACTCAAGAAAACCCTCCAACAATTACAACCTATGGCACAGAAGTAAGTAGATATATATACTTAGTCAATTCAATATACTTTGTCGTTGACCAGCTCAAGCCTTTGTGACTGGACCAAAAGGAACTTTGGGGTAAAAATCGCTGAAGCGATTGATTACCATATCTGATTAGATATGTGATGGGCTTCACAGAACAGAACTTTGCTGGTGAGCCGTCACTGTTGAAGGAGATAGATGTTTTTTTAATGTTTTCAAAATTTGGAACTTGATCCTGTAACTAAATGAAAATTATAATTATCTTTTGTTTTCGTTTTGCAAAACCTGAAGACATATGTTTAAGTGTTACAGTTCACCTTTGTCTTATTAAACAAGCTTAAAATAATGGCAAAATAGTTGACAGTTACATTTGTATATGATAACTTATTTTTGGTTAAAGGTTACTGGTCAAAATGTCCAGTAAGGAAAAGATTTGACTGGCAGAGTACCAGTTCTGTCCAGACGTTGTCCCATGTCTGCCCATCATGAAAATCTAATGGAGGGTGAAATGATTAACCACTCTAGTGATTTCCACCCATACTTCCTTTCAGTCCAGTCGCATAGGCTTAATCCTGTCAACGACTAGATTTTTCATTGTTTGAGGGTGGCAAGACTTTCAAAGATCAATATAGCCATCTATAGTAGTTTTCACTTATTGAAACAATGACACTGATTTCAAGGACGTTTTTTAATGAATCCAGTAGTACTGGCTTTAAGAGGGTGGAATTCAAGTCTTGACAGTACATGTATTATATTTCTTTGATCATCATTATCATAAAGTTGTATTCTATTGGTTTTTGATGTATTTAGTTCCTAAAGGACTTAGATTCTCATAAGTGAAATGCAGACTACACATCCGTTAAGCACACCACAGGGAGCCCAATTTAAATGTAGATTCTTTCTATATATATAGGATTAAGCAATGCTAGAATTATATTAACAAATGTGTGCTTAATTGGCCAGCTGTTTGCTGGTATTTTAAATTAGCACACTTTCTAAACCAACTTTTTTCGGCCAATAACATGTTTTCCAGATCTTATTTTTATCTTTCACTTTTATCTAAATCGGGCTCCCTGTGGTCAAACAAGACAGGTGTCACCGAGAGGAGGATCCACTAGTATCCCAAAATGCATTGCGAGTGAGATATGTTTTTCATTTATACAGCTAAAATTAATATTTTCGAAACTGAAAAATCAAATGAACTTAAGTAGAATGTATGTCATGCTTCTTATGAATTTCTATTTATTTCAATTTTATTTATTTTATTTATTTCTATTTAAAGAAACTAGTCAAAATACTGATTAAATACTTTTTGAGTAATTTAGGGTTGAGTGTAGACTCTACTCTTGCGACCAACACAAGTAAATTTGTATGTTGAATGCTTTAGTACTAATGAGCATTTGTTTGATATTTCAGTCTATAGCTCCTGTTATGAGAGGAATTCCTCCTGGATACCACCAAATGCCACCACCAGAATACCCACAGGCGAAACTGCCATGTTATACACCAGTAGATACGAACAAGGGCAACCCACCTCCTTATCAGTAATRCTGTATAATAACTAAGACAAATAATAGACCCCTTGCAGTTTGTCGGAATGCATCTCAATTTGGAGGACTCCAATTCTCATGTCCTCCAAATTGAGCACCTTTGACGTCACATGAAAGGGGTCCATACATTGTGTAAATGTATATCCCTGGGCCTGGTTGTATGTAGGATGAATAGCTCTAACCAATGGATAAATCCTTATCCAGTGGATAAATTGATGCTGTTATACAATAAAGTTATCCACTGGATAAGATTTATCCCGCTGGATAGCACTACAGATCTACCCCTCGTACAACTGGGCCCTGTAGATGAGAACAAAGACAATCCACCTTCTCATCAGTAAAACTGTATATAATAACTATGACAAATAAAACTGTAATTGTAAACTGAAATCTTCAGGAAAAGGAAACAAATACTGAAATAATATGATTTTTTCCCCATTGATTGTGCTCCTGGGAGACATTGCAAGCCAGTGTTGCAGTGTATTGTACGAAATACAGAATGAAAAACGCTAACGAAACAGCACTTCTGGCACCCAGGGTAATTATTGCAGAGCAGTAGCCTTCCAATTCATTAATCATTATTTAACTGCAATAAACCTTATGAAAAAGGTTGTGGCCATAAAAATACTTTAGTTCATGTCGAAATACGTGATTTTGCAAAGTTTCGGTGCAGTAACRTTRRATGATAAAAAAATAAAAAAAAACAAAAAAACTACAGCTTGTCAGAAATTAGAAAGTTAGATTTTAAGAAAGCCCTTCAAGGATATACAAGTCTCGCCGTTTCATGTTTTTGGTGCATCTCAAATGCTTATAATTAGATTCACTTGTGTACATTGTAAACCAAATAATGAAAATGATTATTTATTATAAATGAACCACTAAAATGAAATGACTGTGAAAAGGTCAGTGTGTTAAGCGTGCCGTGCAGTGACCGTGATGTTTTGTAGCATTTCAATTGGCTGATTTTTTCTCGCGTAATGCATGTGCTTGGTCTTGCAGTGCCTTGACTCTGGCGTGACCATGTCCGCGCCGTGTCAGACTTCCTGACCGAGACAAAATACTTTTTAAAGCACAGAGCAAAAACCATTTAATTAAGAACGATTGTACGATTTTTTTTTACTATCTAGACCATTGTCTCTTTCGCATATGCATCATAAGATCATAAGATATTTTAAATCATAAAATAATGTCATAAACCAAATCGAATATGGCGTTCAATTTGGGAACTATTATAATTGTTCTAGGCTGACTAGGCCCGTGTTCACGTGAAAACATAATAGCGTTTCCACATGTGAGAGACCCCAGTCAGTCCAGAGCAATAGTCGTGCAAATTTGTTGCCATATTGTGATTCGGTGTATACTGAAGCTTTTGTGCTGCAAGCTGGTTATGTTAGCTAGAATGATGGCAATAAACTTTGAATACAAAAAAACAATTTCATCACGTGACTACTGTTTTTTTTCTGTTATCCTTGAAAACCGAAAATGAAATTTATTGTTTAAGGACTGGCAAGATTGTCGGCAGTGGCCATGGCATTTCATTTCTAATATTGTACATGATACAATTTACTCGATTCTGATTGGCTGAGAGCAATATAGTCCTACACAGCCTCTATTAGAGTTGTCACGCAACGCTCTTTCTTATAGCTTAGAGGAGTGAGCGTTCTGTGACGACACTAATAGCGGCTGCGTAGGAGATTAAGAGCAATAAAGTTCGTGCTGTTTTGAAACTCTTTGAAAAACCCACTCGAATTAATTCCAAATTGCACTCGAAACCTATATTATTACCTATACTAATTCCCCCTTGTTAACAACCTCAGGAGGTCTCCGGAATGAATAATGGGAGAAAAAATTAAAATTAATAATGGCCACTCTGGGATTTAAGGCTTAAAATTTGAATTGAAATACTAGGTCTAGGGCAGAAGATAACCTTTACTATTACTAAACTGCATATTATATTACTGCGCATACAAGGTACACCAATTATTACTACAAAATTAAATACTTTTGGTTTAAAGTGCTGGTCTTACGAAAATATTAATGAAGCAAAAAAAATCCCAGATTTTCTATATGCTCAAATAGGTTATAATGTTCACCAATAAACAATAATTGGTTCGAAAAAGAAACTTTTCCCGTCTGAATTCTACTTCCGAAAATTGTTCAAAGCTCGTCCGCCATTTCTGTGAGCAGCGATTTTATCGTTGCATTTTAATATATGTGTGACGTCATACGCGCAACTAGCATCCTTTTTATCCACACTGACTCTACAGCATTCTCTGTAAGAAGGCATGACTTGGCTTAAGGCTTGTTTTTAAATCAAAAATATTCGAAATTTGGTTGCAATTACACATTGTGAAAAGCCGCGAATTTTGAAAGGTTGCGCGTATGACGTCACTTCCTTCGAATCACTAAAAGTTGCCAGGAACGCAATCGCTTAATGGCGGACTCAAACGGCCAAACTTTACTGGCTAAATAAAGCATCTTCCCAGTCTTGTATCGAAAAAGAATTTGGACAGTGAGCTATATTACATATCTAGTTTTATATGGTACAATTTCCAGGGACGGTGTCATTTTCGTAAGACTAGCACTTTAATGAAAATAACTCTTTATACAGTAAAACTTATTGATTTGACCTCATAGTACATTAGCTTTTTTCATTCGCAATTTACCTCCTATTCAGTGTTATGTTCTTTTTGTTAACGCGGCAGCCATGTTGGATGGAAATTTTTTCCCCATAAAGCCTTGCATTTGTGCGCTTCAGGGTGAGCGTGCTAGCGACGGCCTTAACCTCCTCCGCAGACTATATTCTCCGTTTGGATCCCTGTGTTAAATCTTATGGCAGGGAAAGAACTAGGAACGAGAAACGAGAGAGGAGGAGGAGTGGGGACGAGGGAGGGAGAGAAAAGCGAGGAGGAGTAGCCTGCATCTCTTCTTCTTTCTCCCTCCCTTCCCCTCCCCCTTCGACATTTTTGCCCTCACCACAGGAAGCCCAAGGAGCAAAAAGAGCCCAGGAAATGCTTGCGGAGTAGGCTAGCGGCGAGCATAAACAAAAGTTTTTATTTTTATAAGAGTAAACATCGCATCCACGTAATAATATACCTTTCTCGAATGAATTTGCTTGAGTGACGTCGACAACGTTTTCAAGTCTAGGTTGAGCTTCATAGATACAGTAAAGTGCATGAACTCTATCCTCGACTTGAAACCATTGTTCACAAATAGCTTTGGCAAGTTAATATATATCGCAGAGACGTATCAGGATATTCGTAAGATGGTTTTTTGGTTTCAAGAGCCCTCAAAACCGGGCAGCGCATTATGCATATTAAAAACAAATCGATATTCTCAAGGCCGGTTTAGGCGGTACGATTTTCGCCTACAACTATCGTATAGAACACGCTCGCGCCATCCTACAACTCGAGTCGTAGCGTGTAAATCAAGCCTACAACTCGCCTACGACAGACGCGAGTGTTGTATACGATAGTTGTAGGCGAAAATCGTACCGCCTAAATCGGCCTTTAGGGAGGTTGATTGGCGAAGAATCCCCACAACCCTCCCCCTGGATCCGCCCCTATATAGCCAAAGCATTATCTTTCAAAAGTGAATCAAAAATAGGCAAAAGTAGTTTATGTAAAGTATTTCGGTAAAATTGCGTATATGAGGAATTTTTTGACAACATTAGTGCAGTGTATAAGAAATCGCACGATTTTGAGTACAATGCGAAATTTATAGGTACGAGTTCTGTTTTGAACGTTTTCAAAATTGGACAAGCCTTTAGGCGAGTATAATTTGAGAACTTTCAAAACATCACAAGTATCTATAAATTCMRAATTATACGAGAAGATTGTGCGATTTTTTGTTTATAATACACTCAAAAAAACTGAGCAACTTAATTGGGACTCTACAGAGTGCAATTTGGGATTTAATTGTACTCCTCTTGACCAATCAGAATCAAGATTAATTTTGTCGAGTGTATTATAAAATGCATAACTACTTCTCAACATTTATATATACATGCTCGTCGTACATCTCGGTGGTGTTTCTTGGTAAGATAATTCAAAGCCGGCAAATTCTACAGCCGTCCAGATGGCTTCGGCATGTTTTTTTTAAAGGATGGAATCGTAGCTTTGAAGTGTGTGAAGTTATTTTATTCTCGATGTAATGGGGCGTTATAGGAATTTCCCTGCCTGAGCAGAAACGAAAAGATATCATGCATTTTTAACTTAATAAATAAAACTTAAAGCCATAGCCAGCAGTCCTATTTCTTCGCATTTTTCTCTTTCCTGTCCATCGTAAATTGGTACAAGGTCCTGTATTATCTCATGGCAGAAACATTTACTCCACTCGTTTAAAAATGCCACAAGCACCTCGTTTACATTATCAAATATATGACTAGTTAAAGAATATGACTGTAGCTTTAAGTTCGATTTGTGCATGAAAATGGGCAAAATGTAATTTAAATTGTTTTAAGAAGAAAAGAATCGAGTGTAGGATTAAATCAACGACCAAACCCTTTCATGGACTTTCTTCTTTGTCGAAACTTGACTGCTGTCGAACATGAATCACAACAAAGTCCTTCACCCCATGCTACTGATGAACACCACTGATATCGTACAGCTAGCTGACAATACCGGGAAATGTCACCTTCACATTCGGTTTTAACTGGTAGATAAAAAAAGGATTAGGGCATTAAAATACCATTAAAAGTATAAAGTATTCATATTTAGGGACGTAGTATAGTAGTAATAAATTATGCGTTCGGTGTGAGTAATGAAATAGAGAGAATAAGAGAAAAATATCAAATGCCAATATCAAATATTTAGGGACGGTGCATTAGATAATTGAGGAATTCACATTCGGTTTTGACTGGTGAATAGAAAAGGGATTGGGTATTGAAATACCATTTAAAAAAATAATCATATTTAGGGAAGGTGCCATGATTAAATAATTGAGCAGAGGGGACTACGCAAATCACACAAAAAACATGGAGCAAGCACTTCACCTACGAAAACAAAATCGCTCAACCTCTTCTTTCAGTAAAAAAAAAAAAATTGTGCAGGGATTGTTAGGGGGCTTTCATTTAATAGCACATGGGGGGAGGGGAGGGGGGAAATTGTAGGAGGGGCGTCGTTATTTTGAGGAAGTGGTTAGGAGCTAGGGTTATCACATATTGAGAAGCTTTTCGCCTATTGCAGGGTGATAAAAGGAGGGAGGGGTTATGAAAATGTTGCCGTTACTCAACCCCCTGGAGAGGTGGTTGGGTTATTGTATTGTAACCTAAGATAAAGCTATCACCCCTCAATGTAACACTACTACGTCATCTATCACAGCGATTGTGCAATGGTATGCATGCGAACATATGTTACGTTAAGGAAAGTGAATATTGATGGTTTTCACAGCCGCCATGTTGGATGAATTTAACAAAAGATTCGTCATTAGTCCCTTATGTTATATCATCCAACATGGCCGCCGTGTCTTTTGTTATTTCACTCTCTTGGGAATGATTGCAAACCAGCAATACTTGACATTTGACAGAGTATTAGCGTACCGTATTTGGACTTGGGGCATTTTCCTGAATAGACTGTTATATCATCGAGAGCTGCATCTCCTGAATATCCATTGCCTCTCACGGCTTCGAAAATAATCTACGTGCAGGGGAAAAGGAAAAACAAAATTGTCAAAAATTATTTATTAGAAAGTCCTGATATTTTTAAATCGCTTATTAATGGTCGATATACTTCGAAAGCCAAAGAACCGTTAATAATAACAATATTATTTAAGACTAAAATACCACCACAAATGATTATAAAAAATAGCCACGATATAAAGCGCGCTCTAATAGACCGTCTTCTCAAGGTTGCGTGCGCATCGAACATAACGGTCAGTAAAATTGGGAAGACAGTTTTATATTTAAAGAGGAGAATAATCGATGTTATGGATTTTTATTATATGACCGCGAATCTTAGTGCCTGGACACTAGCAAATCGAGCAATCTGATTGSATAGATCGCATAGCGGACTGGTCTAGATTCTCCGGTATTAACCGGTCCGATCGCATATTAATCTTACGGCGAAAACATTTTGTCCTTTTCAATGAAAAGTGGTCAYATAATAAAACTCTTATCAACCGAGCTTGGTCGGTCTGTACGGGATAATCTTGACCTCGGTCGGGTACAGACCTCGGTCAAGATTATCCCGTACAGACCTCCCGCTCGGTTAATAAGATCTAGTTATATATATAAAAAAATAAAAAAAAATATATATATATATAGATATAAAAATAAAATTATAGCAATACATGATAATACTCGTGTTCTGGTATCGTGGCCCGTCAAATCCCTTAAATTCGGATGCGCACGCAACCTTGAGAAAACGATCTATTGGTTCATTAGCGTGCGCGAGCGTGCATCCAAAGCTAGATGGTTCACGCACCTCAGACAGGATTGAATAGCGCGCACTATGCAATAAATTTCGTTGGTAAAAAAAAAAAAAAAATTTGACTAACAAATATTATTTTTCAAGGTACTGTTTTCCTATGTTATGAAAGCATTATATATGACTTTCATAGTTCTTACAGACTTTTTCTTCAAGTAAGGCAAGAAACGAAGAGAAAAGAAGTCCCAAGTTACAATATAGATGCTTACTCTGTACTTAACACTACTTGTAATCTGCAGCCTAGCGTTGTTCCATCTCGGACCTTGATTTCCTTCTTTGTGCCAAAGTTTCTTGTCACCATTCACAGTTTTCAGGTATACATTGATTGTTCCCATCGTTTTGCCCAACATGTGATACCAAAAGTCTAAACAGAGCTTACTGATAGTTATTAGAGGGCTAATAATTCTGGCTTTGTCGCCGCTGCTCTGAGGTGCCGATGCTTCAATAAAGATGTATTTGCCTATAAAACCCGTCAAAGCATGTTATTAGTCACGAAAAATACATTGCTACAGTAATCATGAAAACTTAGTAATACAGCGGTTTTCGCATGCAAGCGGATTCAGGCTTCAGGGGGTTGGACTAGGCGCGCAAAGCATAATTTCCTTGATCTAAAAAGAATCAATTCCATCACAGGCAGCCCAAACAAGTTCCTGTGTATATGGTTTATAAAGGATGTATGGGAGTTATCATGAAGACACTGCAATGAAATGTTTCATTCAACAATTTGCTTTACTGAAAACTTGGTACAGTCGTTGCTTGTACCTCGTTCAAACTTCTCCGCGATTTGGGGCAGTTTAGTGTTTTTTTTATTTCGAAATCATGCATCTCTTCTCTATTCTATATTTAGGTAGAGAAGAGCG